AGGATGGGTGGGGAAAAAGAAGGGAAGGGGAAAGTCAAGGAACATATAGCAAGGACTCATGGACAAAACCAAAGGGGAAGAGCTGAGGGAGGGAAGGTGGGAGGGGGCAAGGGAAAGTGGTGGGGGGTAGGCAGAGACAAATGTATTTGAAAAAATAAAAATAAAATTAAACAAAAGAATATCTGGAGTTGAAAATATAATAACTGATTTCAAATAGTCAACAGTGGACATATTCAGGAAGAAAGCATCAGTGAAGTTGAAGACAGACCATTTGAAGTTATGGAGTCTAAGGAGCAAAACAAAACACAAAAGAAAATGAAGAAAAAAAGTGGACAAAGATTAAGAAAGTTATGGGACATTATCAAGCAATATATTCATTATGAGAGGCCCAGGAAGTTAGGAGAGAAACGAGAAAGGGGCAAAGAGGTTATTTGAAGAAATAATCACTAAAAGCTTTCCAAATTTAGGGAAAACCATGGATTTACAACACCAAGAATCATAGTGAACTCTAAGTAAGATAAACCCACAGAGGTCTACACCAAGATGCATTATAATCAGACTCTCAACAACCAAAGTGAGAATCTTGAAAGAAGAAAAAAAACAACTCTTCACGCGCAAGGATCCTCAATAAGATTGTCAGCGAATTTCTCAGTGGAAGCCTCAAAGACCAGAAGGGATGAGATAATATATTTAAAAGGCTGAAAGAAAAAAATGTAAACCATGAATTCTCTATCTGGCAAAACTGTCTTTCAAAAATGAAGGTGAAATTAAGACATTCTCAGATAACATTCAACATCGCAAAGGAGATTTTAGCCACAGGAATTAGGTAAGAAAAATAAATAAAAGGCATCCAAATTGGAAAGGAAGAGTTAAAATTACCTCTGTATGCAGATGATATGATCTCATATGTAGAATACCCTAACAGTCCCTCCAAAACCTATTAGATAGAATTGATAAATGAATTCAGCAAAATTGTATGATACAAAATAAAGACACAAGTATCGGTTGCACTTCTGTACATGGACAATGAACAATCTCTAAAGGAAATTAAGAAAACAATTCTATTTATAATAACATCTAAAAGGATAAGCAAAGGCAACAAAAGCAAAAATAAATAAGTAGGACTACATCAAACTAAAAAGCTTCTGCACAGCAAAAGAAACAATCAAGAGAATGAAAAGGCAACCTACCAAATAGGAGAAAATATTTACAAATCATATATCTGATGAGGATTTAATATCCAAAATATATAAAGAACTCATACAACTCAATAACAAGAAAACAAGCAATATGATTAAAATATGAGCAGAGGATCTGAATAGACATTTTTCCAAAGAAGACATACAGATGGCCAACAGATTTATGAAAAGACATTCAACATTACTAATCATCTGGGAAATGCAAATCAAAACCAGGATGAGATACCACCTCACACCTATTAAATGGCTATTATAAAAAAGACAAGAAATAAGGAGCATTCGGAAAGATGAGGAGAAAAGGGAACCCTCTGTTGGTAGGAATGTAAACTGGTGCAGTCATTATGGAAAACAGCATGGAAATTTCTCAAAAAATTAAAAATAGAAACTACTATATCATCCAGCAATCCCACTTTTGGGTATTTATCCAAAGGAAACAAAAACACTAACTTGAAAATATATACGTACCCCTATGTTCATTGCAGCATTATTTACAATAGCCAAGATATAGAAACAACCTTAGTGCTCATGAGTGACTGAAGAAATAAAATGTGGTATACCTATATAATGGAAAATTATTCAGCCATAAAAAAGAATGAAATATTGCCATTTATGACAGCATGGATGGACCCTGAGGCATTATACTAACTAAAATAAGTCAGAGAGAAAGATAAATACCATATGATCTCACTTATATGTGGAATCTGAAAAAAAAAAAAAACTCATAGGTACAAAGAACAAATTGGTAGTTGCCAGAGGCAGGGATTGGGGAGTGAATAAAATGAGTAAAGGTGATCAAAGGTACAAATTTCCAGTTATAAAATAAATAAGTCTTGGGAATGTAATGCATAGCATGGTGAGTATAGTTAATAATACTGTATAGCATATTTGAAAAATTGATAAGAGAATTGATCTTAGAAGTTTTCATCACAAGAAAAAAGTTGTAATTACGTGCGGTGATGGATGTTAACTAGATTCATTGTGGTGGTCATTTGCAATATATACAAATACTGAATTATTACTTGGCACACTTGAAACTGATATTATATGTCAATTATCTATCTATCTGTCTGCCTGTCTATCTATCTATTTATCTGTCTATCTACCTATCTGACAAAGAATAAAATACTCAGGAATGAACTTAACCAAGGAGGGGAAAGGCTTTCAAAAGTCTGCTGAAAGACACTAAGGAATACACAAATAAATTGAAGGATATCCTGTGTTTGTGAGTTGAAAGATTCAATATTGTGATGATATCAACATCACCAAAAGTGATCTAAAAATTCAAAGCAATTCCTGTTAAAATCCTATTGATATTTTTACAGAAGTATAAAAATCCATCCTAAAATTCATATGAAATATCAAGTGATTCTGAATATCCACACAATCTTGAAAAAGAACAAAGCTGGAGATCTCATATTTCCTGATTTCAGAAAACTACAAAAAACTATGATAAACAAAATGGTGTGGTACTGGCATAAAAAAAGACATATTGACCAGTTGAATAGCATAGAAAGCCCAGAAATAAACCCTCACATTTATGGTCAAATGATCTTTGACAAGCATGCCAAAACCATGCAAGGGTGGAAGGGATAGTCTTTTCACCACATGGTGCTGGGAAAAATGGATGTCCACATGCAAAAGGAAGAAGTTGGGCCGTTTCCTTAAAGAATATACAAAAATGAACTCATACTGGATCAAAGACCTATGGGTAAGAGCTAAACCTATAAAACTCTTACAAAATTAAAAACTTTTATGCATCAAAGAACATTATCAACAGAGTAAAAAGGCAAGCCTCAGAATGGAAAATATATTTGCAAATCATATATCCAATAAGGGACTGGTATCCAGAATTTATTTTTAAAAAAATACAACCCAACAACAAAAAACAACCTGACAAGAATGGGAAAATGACGTAAACGGACATTTCTCCCAAGAAGATATACAAATGGGCAGTAAGACATAAAAATATGTTCAACCTCACTAATCATTAGGTGTGTGATAACAGAAATATGTATATTGGTCTCTGTCCCCAGTTTCCAGCCCTAAGCTCTAAAGCCCTTGTAATTTCCTTAGTGATAAGAACAGTAGGAGCATCTCTTGTTCTAATATTTGATCTTTGACCCCATCCCTGACACAAGGCTTCTAAACCTCTTGTAAGTTCCTAAGTGATAAGAACATTAGGAGCATCTTTTGTTCCAATGAGGAAACTCAGGGTGGGCTTCTGGATAGGGGCTAATCACCAGAATGACAAAGCCATGATTAGAAGCTTGGAATTTTCAGCCCAAACCCCTGCCTCCAGAGAGGGGAGAGGAGCTAGAAATGGAGTTAATAATTAATCAAGCCTACAAGATGAAACCCCCATAAATGTCCCAAAAGTAAAGAGTGCAAAGAGCTTTCAGGTGGGTGAACACACCTACTTATCAGGAGGTTCCTCAACTCCACAGGGACAGAAGCACCTGCAGTCAGGACCCTCCCAGACCACACGTTATGTACCTCTTCATTTGGCTGTTCATCTGTATCCTTTATCATATATTTTACTTTAATAAACTGGTAAATGTAAGTAACTGTTTTCCTAAATTCTGTGAGCCACTCTAGCATATTAATTGAACCCAAGGAGGGGGTCATTGGAAACTGATTTATAGCCAATTGGTCAGAGGCACAGGTGAAAACCTGGATTTGAAGTTGGCATCTGAAGACGAATGGGGGCTGCCTTATAGGACTGAGCCCTTAACCTATGGGATCTGACACTAGACGGTATGAGTTAAATTATAGGATATCCATTTGGTGTTGCAGAGAAATGCTTGTTGTGGGGAAAAACAATCCACATTTGGTCACCAGTAATCGTCAGATGTAAAGTGTTCTGCATGAAAATAAAGGAGACACACAGGAAAGGAAAATGTTTGGTTCTTCCGCTGTAGTAGGGAAATTCAAATCAAATCCAAATGAAATACCACTTCACACCCATTTAGAGTGGGTATCATGTTTAAAAAAACAAAATAACAAATGTTGGTAAGGATGAAATGAGAACCCTTGGCATTGCTGGTAGGAATGAAGAATGGTACCGTAGCTGTGGCAAATGGTATGGTGGTTTCTCAAAAAAGTAAACATAGAATTACCATAGGATCTAGCAATTCTACTTCTTGGTATTTACCCAAAAGAACTGAAATCAGAGACTCGGATATTTTTACAGCCATGTTCATAGCAGCATTATTCACAACAGCCAAAAGGTAGAAGCAACCCAAATTTCCATCAATGGGTGAATAAACAAAATGCAGTACATTATTATTCAGCCTCAAAAAGGAAGGAAATTCTGACACATGCTATAACATGGATGAAACTCGAAGACATTATGCTAAGTGAAATAAGCCAGTCACAAAAGGAAAAATAGCAATATGATTCCAATTATATGAGGTACCTAAGCAGTCAAATTCATAAAAGACAGAAAGTAAAATGGTGGTTGCTAGGGGATGGGAAAAGGGAAGAATGGGGAATTAGTGTTAAGTGTATATGAAGTTTCAGTTTGGAAAAATAAAAAAGTTCTGGAGATAGATAGTGATGATGGTTAAACGATGTGAATATAATTAATGTTACTGAACTGTAGACTTAAAAAGGGTTAAAATGGCCCATTTTATGTTAAGGATATTTTACCACAATAAAAAATACCATACTAAAACTATCTCCCAGGAATTGTGAGAATCAAGTGAGATCTATATAGAAAAACTTTGTAATCTATATGGCCCTTCACAAATATTAGCTCTTTTTAATCATTATTATCCTGTTTACCCCACCATGATACCATTATTCACATTCTCTACCCATCCATGCTCACCCAGCAGCAAACTTTTGGAGTTCAAGTGTTGTCTGTCCAGTGATATCCACCTTCATTTTGTTAAACGCTGGATTGTGCATGCCAAGGCAACTGACGCCCAGAGTTCTGGTTCTGAAACGGAACATGCCCCCATATAGACATAAGTTTTAGACAAGTAAACCTGGTGGATTCTGATGACAAAAAAAATCAGACTTCCTCCTCTTACTCAGTTTTCCCTAATGCTTGGCTTGGAAGCAGGCCTCATTCAGCAACAAGAGGTCACCATGCCATTGCCAAGAACAAGGGAAATCTTCCTCCAATTAAGTTGACCACCTAACTCCTTGGCCTGCTACCAAGAAATGTACCTCATAGTACGGCCTTTGAACAGGTGAAGAATCCTGAACCTTCTGGGAAAGGAAAACAGGAAATGTATTCACTGAGTATGAATTGAGAGCAAAGGTAGTTAGGTAAGAAATACAAAAATAAAAATGCTAAAATTCAAAGACCAGAATGGCCAGCTTTGATGGATTAGACAACTCTCTGTAGAGTAGCCTTAGAGCTGAACCCTCATATATTGCTGCAGAACGTGTGTGATAATGCACTAGTGCAAAACTTAGGAATGATGTTTCTTTCCGGAAATCAAGCCAATTGGTACCTACATCCAGATACTGACCAGGATCTGTATCAGCATTCAGGTGTTCTCTGAGGGTGCCAAGTTTCCTTAGCTTTTCAGGCACTGCTCACTGAGGATTTCTCCTAATATGGGTAATGCTACAGTGCCTTCTGGTATCTTTTTCATGCAACGTCTGTCCAGGAGTTGCTGCCTTTCCAGGTATTCCCCGGAGGATCAATGAAGAATTTCATTTCATGACTCTTTGAAGAGCTTTCAATGTGGGTGAAGCACTAAGTACTACTTACCCCAGCCTTAGAAGTTTGACCTTCTATGGCCAGGAGAAAGAACCCAAGTTTCTCTACCCTTACAATCTTGAATGTCTTTACTTCCTTCAATAATGTTATCTAAGATTCTTAGCATTATCAGCAAGATTGGATAATAACAGAACTTTTCCACAAAACTTTCTGCCAATGCTCAAATATTGACGGTGATTTCCCAAATTATTTGATTCTCCATTATGTACCCTTTCTCTTCTTCTCAAACCTTCCCAATAACACCTATCCCATATATTCAGTCACGTTTGTGTAGAAATGCATCTTTCCTAGTTTTCCCTCTATCTCTTTATATTGCATCTGTATCGTTGGTAACTAAGGCTCAGTCACAATACCTACAACAGTGTCAGACGTTCCATCTTGTTCTCATTTTGCTATAACTGGGAGGCAAAAGAAATGTGTCACTCTGGGAGTGTCATGGTGAGGGGTAAGGACTCTCATGGACAACGGACATTGAGGCCATTAACACATGTCCTGTGAGTGAAACTCAAATATAGAAAAGCAAAAACTTAGGAAATATGCCTTGCACCCACCTCCTCTTTTATAACCAGTATAGTAGGGTTGGTTGATGAAGTAGTAGAACCAACAGTCCATTCTCCACAGATGGTTAAGGGCAGCAGAACAAGCCCTAAGTGTCTCAATCTATTCTTGGGTGGTTCATCATTGTGAGTCATTAATCCACCATCACCAGGTCACATATTCTAAGTTCTTTTAAAAAAAATGGTAATAAAACGTTAGCCATCCATATTCTCTCAGTTATACTGGGACGCAGTAGACACATAAGGAAGTATTCAGTCTCTGGAACCAAAGCAACATTATTTAAAATCATGCCTTTGCTGCTTGTGTACCACCAGTCAATGACGTTTCCTGTTCTAATGTTTTCTGACCCCCAGCCCCATCACCACCGCCAAGCACATGGAGCCCAGGGGCTAGACAAGAGTAGACACGGGTATGTTCTCCCTTTACCTCTTTATCTTCTCAACTATGTGTTAACGCTCTGACGGTAAGTGCCCCTCATTCTCTCATTTTTCTAGGCTGCCGCGACTCTCTATACCCATCTCCGTATACTTATACAAAATAACAATCTGCACGCCGCTGGGGCGGGGCCAAGCACTTCCCTCCACTAAAAGGGCTTAATTAAAATTACAGTTGTTAACAAATAACTTCCCTGTTACCATGGTAAAGCCAATGCTGCCATCTGTATTGTGGTGAACGATTACTTACAGTAGTCTAAGGAAAAAAAAAACGAATAATAAAAGATGCTATTCGCCTCGGGAAGCCTTAATTCACCTCATAAAGAAATTATTGTCCAGACGCAGCCCGACTGGGAAGAGGTTATTGCTCCAGTAGACGTAAGGCACGCCTCCTGTGACGCAAAGACGCCAGGGGAGGTGGCCGTGCGTCCAACGGGCTCAGGCGTTTCCGTTTCGTGAGCGCTACGGAAGCGTGTTGGTCGCTGGGCTAACGCGCAGTACGGAAGTGTGCCCGAGCATACCGGAAGCCGCAGAAAGAGAGCGATGGCGGGTTTGAATGTAAGAGACCCTGCGGTAGATCGTTCACTACGTTCAGTGTTCGGTAAGAGGAATTTATTGTTGCCAACCACCGGGGAGGGACAGAGAGAGTCAGTGAGCGGCAAGGAACGTCCCCTACACCTCATGAATAGCCTTGGGAGTCTTTGATCCGTCAGGCGTGCAGCTTTACCTGTCTCTCTTGTGAGACGGCCAAGCTGGTGGACTCGAGGGCAAAGTGATTTTCTCCTCCCAGGGTTTGGCAGCCTTTCCACGACGTGGCTGAGGAGGTTAATCTAGCGTTCGGCTTCTATGCATTTCTCCTTTCATTGATTGTCTAGCTTCAGGTATTTTCTAGAAGCAAGGGCGCTTGGCAACTGTCCCATACTACTTCTCAACCCCTATTTCAGAATACAGATTATGTGGTGAGGGTATAGATATATAGATACTTGTGTCCACTTCCCGCCCTCTTGTAAGGACTTTCATTCTGTGCTTAGAACCCGTTACATTTTATCGAATCGTTCATTGATAGTGGTAGCAGCTACGAGACGTTTCAAGGTGGATTGTAAGTAAATGAATGAATGAACGATTACGACTTTGCAGAAGAAATTTTAAAAAGGATAAGACCTATTCTAAGTAATCTTTTCAGCCGAAATAAGTTGTTTTGGGGGTTTTTAAAGTATGTGTGATGATTTTAAAGCATTGTTTTGAAGGGGTATGACAAAACAGTTCAGAATAATTTTTAAACCTCTTCCACTACAACCATGGTCATTTTCCTTTGAGACAGTGTGTGTGTAAATGTGGAGATATGAGCTGGGTACAATACTGATATTTTCAGTAGTTTTGAAAAGACTTGCAGACTTCTAGGTACATAACAAGGCCTAAGTATTTTCACCAAGATTAAGGAAGACCTAACTTGAGTTAGATCAGTCTGAGAACTGATATTTACAACTGTATACACTTTTTGTATTTTTTTTTTTTTTTGCAATTAAAATCAGCGAAGAATGAAATTCTCTCTAAGGGGATATCATAGAACTGGGATTGGAGGAGCACTGTATTTTGAGCCTGTTGTTACATATTCCATGATAAAGTAGATACTGTTTATTTTGTTACTAAAGGTCTAGGTTACAAACTCAGAATTTTAATGTTACCTATTTTCTTCTTTAGTGGGGAACATTCCATATGAGGCTACTGAAGAGCAATTAAAGGACATCTTTTCTGAGGTTGGACCTGTTGTTAGTTTCAGGTGCGATTCCTTTCACTACTCAGTGGGAGTTTCTTAAAAATCACCACAAATTTGGCCCTTAGTAATAATGGCAAGGTTTTTACTGGTGACTTTTCATGTGCATCCTTCTTTTTTTGTTTGTAACAACTTTATTGAGATATAATTCACATACCATACAATTTACATTCATTTTTGCTAAAAGATTTTTTTTTAATGCAGGCAGCATTCAAAGTTCATGCCATTTTCAAGTATGCCCAGGCTTTTACTTTCTCTTGGGCCTTTTATGTTTTCTATGCACATGTATCCAGCTTCAGGGTTGGCCAGATATGTGTGTAACTGTTTTGAGTTTTCTCCAGAATCTACTGCACATGCACACAGTCAAGCAAAAAATGTGCCTTCTCCAACAGTGACTACAACCTCAAGCCAGTGGAGCTGTGAGCATTCTCTACTCAACCACCCCTGCAATTGTCACTTCTACCAACAATACTGCTGGGTGTGGGCTCTTCCCACCTCACCGAATTGAGCAAGCCCCTTCACTAGCCACAGAGAAGCCATTGATCCTTATGACCATCCCATTCTTATCAGCTGATCTGGGGGAAAGACTCTAATTAAAAAGTAAAGTTTTTTAAATGTTTAGAAATATTTCAGTGAGGCAGTCAGAGTGATAAAGTCACTTGCCTTCGAGTTCACTAAGTTAGAACATGGCAATGCTTGCAAGAGCCCTGTGTGTATGTAACATTTATGCCTGATACTTGGTTCTGCTCTTTAGGTTGGTATATGATAGGGAGACAGGAAAACCAAAGGGTTATGGCTTCTGTGAATACCAAGACCAAGAGACAGCACTTAGTGCCATGAGAAACCTGAATGGGCGCGAATTCAGTGGGAGAGCACTTCGAGTGGACAATGCTGCCAGTGAAAAGAACAAAGAAGAGCTGAAGAGTGAGTATAAACCCAAGTTGTATGCAGCATGAATTAGTAAAGATGTAACAATGAAGATTTTCCATGTAGTATGTTTTAGCATCTGCTTAAATAGTTACCCACACAACTTCTTTACTTGAACCACCTGAGGTGCCTGCATTAGGGAAGTGTATATCTTTTAGAAAAAAGGTAAACTTGACTTTAGAAATTCTTCAGTTGCCAAGGAGTTAATTCCAGTTGAAGATGAATTCAGGCTTACCAAGCGATTAGTAGAATTAATTCTGTCATTGCTGTTCGTCATCCCTGTAACTATGTTTTCAGATCTGTAACTGGTGGGGAGACTAAGGCATTCTTAAGTTTTTCTTTTTAATGAGGTTTTAGACCCAGGAATTCCATTCAGAAATTAGCGTCTTTTTGTTATTTAAACCTTTTACCTCGGAAAGTGCTTGTCGAAAGAAATTGATATGCCTATTCCCTAATTTAGGTCCACCTGTGTGATCCTGGTCCAAGCTTTACTCTGACAGAAGAAAATACACTCTGTCACTTTTTCCACAGAAATAAGAGACTTGCAAATCACTTATTTCTCAGGTCCTGAGAATTTAAAATTATCAACGGGTTCTTACAGCAGCTCTGGAAAGTAGATACTTGAAATGATTTAGCTCTTTATTTTGCCTCCTTAACATTTTTGTACTTTCTTCCCGATCAGGCCTTGGCACTGGTGCCCCTGTCATTGAGTCACCTTATGGAGAGACCATCAGTCCTGAGGATGCCCCTGAGTCCATTAGCAAAGCAGTTGCCAGTCTTCCACCAGAGCAGATGTTTGAGCTGATGAAACAGATGAAGGTGGGAGGAGGCATTAAGATATGAATAAATCCAATCACATCAAATTTTCAAGAGTTAATTGATAAAGTTATGGAAATGATTCCCAGAGCTCAAGTAGAAGGTGTGCCTATTGACCACCATTTCTTGGCACCTTCACTATTCCATATATGCACAGTATATTTTATATTTTGTGCAGAGGGCTTTCCATTTTTGTACACAAACACACCAGCACAATCTGGCTGAGGTTTTGTGGCCTGTAGATATCAGATGCAGATATTAAAATGTGGATTTTTTCCTAAATAGTATTATGGTATTTGAAATGCCTCTTCCTTCTCTTGCCTGCCATGACCAAGATTTTGTGTGCTGTGCAAAAACCATTACATTACATTATTACATTTCTCAGATGGGAATGGTTCTAAATCACTGTTGATTTTTAAGTGATAAGTATTGAACTTGATGATAATTCTGTTTCTTTTCTCAGCTCTGTGTCCAGAATAGTCCCCAGGAAGCACGGAACATGTTACTCCAAAATCCTCAACTGGCTTATGCTTTGCTACAAGCACAGGTAGTGATGAGAATTGTGGATCCAGAAATTGCCCTGGTGAGTGCTTCTGGTTCTTTTATGGAAATGCTGGGGTAAACCTTGAGTGAGAGTAGGAACTACCTGATTGCTTTGTTAAACAGACAGCTCTAAATTTGTCTTTTTACTTTTTTTAGAAAATTCTGCATCGCCAGACAAATATCCCAACGCTGATTGCAGGCAACCCTCAGCCAGTCCACAGTGCTGGGCCTGCCTCAGGATCCAATGTGTCAATGAACCAGCAGAATCCTCAGGCCCCTGGGGCCCAGTCTTTGGTAGGGATTTACACCTTAGCATTTCTTTTTATCTGTCTTAGAATGTCATTTTGATTTTAGGAGGGTATATTGAAAGAAGAATGGTCAGGAGCCAGAGATGGTAATTTCAGTTTCCAGGCTAGAAGCAGTTTCTAGTTTGCAGAATATGTGACATCTGAATGAATATAAATTTAGTGCCAAGTTTGTGAAACAAAGAGGTCCTTCCTGTACACCCTTTTTGATAAGCTAATTTTGTGTGATTCTGCGTGTATAGCACTGGTGTGGGCACTTTGTTATTTCACATACATTGTTTGATTTAGTACGGTGATTGTATGAGGGTGGCACTATTATTATCTCCATTCTTTCCAATGAAAAAGTAAAAACCTGGCTTTCTAAGTGTGACACAAAACTCTGAAACCATAAAAAATCAGTACATGTGAAAACTGAAAAATTTCTATATGGAGAAAAAGAAAGAAACAACAAAGACAGATGACAAATTGGGAAAAAGTATTTGCCATACATGTGAACAACAGGCTTATTACTTAAGAGCCCTTAATCATGTTTAAGAATATTCATTGCCACCTTATAATAGTGAAAAATTAGAAACATCCTAAATATACATCAGCAGAAGAATGGAGTTTTAAATAAACTACATGTGTCTCCATGACTGACTTTCAAAAACATAATTCTATATAGCAGTTAGGTTGAACTAGGATATGTGGTATCAACACATAACTTTTTAAAAATATTTATTTTTAAAGAGAGGGGAAGAGAGGGAGAAAGAGAAGGAGAGAAACATCAGTGTGTGGTTGCCTCCCTTGCCCCCGCAATGGGGGACCTGGCCCGCAACCCAGGCATATGCCCTGACTGGGAATCGAACCAGTGACCCCTTGCTTTGCATTCGGCATTCAATCCACTCCAGATGGAACAACACATATAACTTAAAAACATAATATGAAAAATCAGTGAAGGTGGAAGCATTCCCAAAATATGGGACATATGTGTCTGCAAATATCCCAAAAATATATTAAGTGAATTGGAAAGAATATCTTAATATATAGTGATTTACATAAAATTTAAACCATCTATAAGAATTCTTAAGTGGTTGTCTAAGAAGGGGATACCGGGTGCAATTGGAGAAGACCATATGGGAGATTTCAGTTGTGTATATAATTTATTTCCTAAGCTGCATAGTTAATTTTATTTTCTATGCATTTTATATATCTGGAATTTTTCATAATAAGCTGAAAAGATCTCCTGTAAGTTAGTAAAAAAATGACCAATAACCCAGTAGAAAAGTTTGCAGTGCACATAAACAGTTCTCCAAAGTAGAAATACAAATATACATTAAATATATGAAAAAAGTGTTAACCTCAAAAAAGATAAATGTAGACAATATACAAAAAGCTGCCATTTTTCACCTGACTGAGTTTCAGAGGCAAACAACTTGGATGGATCAGATAAAGGTTTAGGGCAGGAGTTGGCAAACATCTTCTGTAAGTGACCCAATAGTAAGTACTTTTGGTTTAGCAGGCTGTGGAATCTGTCCTGACTACTCAGCTCTGGCATTTGAATTGTGAAATCAGCCACAGACAATACATAAACAAATGTATGTGGTTGTTTCAATAAAATTTTATGAAACAAAGCAGTGAGCCAGATTTGTCCAATGGGCCATAGTTTGCTAACCCTGCTCTAACTCAATAAATATTTTTTTCAGAAATAGAATGAAATGAATTAAGACCCAGAGAGGTTAAGTGGTCCAAAAATAGCATAACTGTAAGTGTAATATCCAGGATCTAAACCTGGTTTTGCGTGACCTCTTAATCTGTTTTCTCTTATCCATCTCACTATACAATTTTCTGTTTTAGATTTTGTGTTCTCTGAGAGTATATGTATTTTTTTTAACAGCTATTATTCTTTATTGAGCTCTTTCTATTCCAAGTTCTCTGGGGAATACACAGGTGAAAACTTGGGGGGGGGGACCTCCACCCTCAAAGTTCCCCAGAGCCGGGCATGAAATAAATCTACCAACACATGATCTCTGTGGGGAGAAAGGGCTGGCCAATCCCTCAGAGGAGAAGGGCCCTGATCTCCTTTTTCCCTAGGCTGGGCTATAGTCCCCAGTACCAGGCAGGGCAGTTCCCCACAGAAAACATAACAGTCACTTTCCCTCCTTGAGCTATAATATAGCATAGAAAACTTAATGTTCCCCCTAAACCAAAATTATATCTCAGGACAGGTTGAGAAAAGATTGGTCATATTTTGTTTTTAAATCTTAAAAATGAAGACTGCCAGCACTTTCTTTATAAAAGCATCCTTGTCTCCTCCTTTTCTCCTTGGCTTCAAGGCACTTTTCTTTTCTAACTCGTATTGCCAGGCCCCAGTCATGAAGTCAACAATAGGTGCTACATGTAGCCTCAGTGCACAAATAAGGCTTCTCAATCTCAGCTTTTAGAATATGGCCCACCTTAGCGGTTATAAGCAGGCTCTTCACATGTATTGCATCTTCTGTTCTAAATTTGTTACAAACCTAAGTCTGCATCAGATATGCTATAGAAAAAGGATATTTGATAGAGTATTTGAGAGTGTCAATTTGAAGAGTTTTTTAAGGTCATAAACTTTGTATGTTGCCTCTTCACAGAAATGTCTACATACTCTGGTTTTTCTGTTGGTCAGGGTGGAATGCATGTCAATGGTGCACCTCCTTTGATGCAAGCTTCTATGCAGGCTGGAGTTCCAGCACCAGGGCAAATACCAACAGCTGTAACAGGACCGGGCCCTGGTTCCTTAGCTCCTGGAGGTATGTTTCATTTAGAGTCTTCACCATTTTGATATTTTGCTAAATTTTTTTTATTGCAAACGGGATAGATCTTGAGATAAAATTAATATACTAGGAAATATATATTCTAGGAGAGGGAAATAGTTGATTGCTTATATACAAATTCTATATGTATGATTATGAAAACAGGGAAACGGACAATAAAGTGGAATGCTACAGTAACACTTCCAAATTAATGAAGGGAAAATTAGAATGAATGGAAACTAGAACAAGGCAGCAAAGACAGAGAAAATAAAACGATATTGTGAAGTATGTAATAATAAACGTAGAGTAAGGGGGAAGGAAAAAATCTTACATAGTCATTATTCTACTAAGTGTGAATAGACTGAATTCTTCCATTAAAAGCCAGAGACTGTAAGATAAGGGTAAAAGCACATGGAAAAAAAAAACAGATGCAGAATACATGGACATACGTCTTCTGATTTAACAGTTATGAAATTACATTTCATTAAATATAATCAGACCAAAGAACAGAAAAAAAGAATTTTGAAAACTATATGTTCTTTGAAAGCATCTATATGGGAAGTAATAGAGTATTGCTACTACACTTAGAGCTTTTTGACATTCAACAACTGTAACTGAAATTATACACGGAATAGTGATTCCCCATATGAAACACCTGTATGAATATATAATGTATATCAATATTGAAAGTTTATTTATACAGCAAGATTGCTTCTTGTTAATTTATCTAACCTGGGTTACATTGGCTGTAACAGCACTCATGGGGGATAACTTAAATCTAAATTTTTCTTTGGTACACACACAAGTTAACAAGGAATGGAAGAAGGGATTTTTAAAGGAATTTAATCAACTCATAATTCTCTTTTTTTTTTCAAATATATTTGTCTCTGCCTACCCCCCACCACTTTCCTTTGTCCCCTCCCTCCTTCCCTCCCTCAGCTCTTCCCCTTTGGTTTTGTCCATGAGTCCTTCCTATATGTTCCTTGACTTTCCCCTTCCCTTCCTTTTCCCCACCCCCACCTCCCTCCTTCCCTCTTGTCTCTGTTGATTTCTTTACCTTTCACTGTTGCTGGTCTTATTATCCTTGCATCTTTGTATTGTTGGTTAGGTTCCGCTTATAAGTGAGACCATATGGTATTTGTCTTTTGCCCCCTGGCTTATTTCACTTAGCATAATGCTCTCCAGTTCATCCATGCTGTCGCGAAGTTTAGTAGTTCTTTTTTTCTTTCTGCTGCGTAGTATTCCATTGTGTCTATGTACAATAATTTTTTGATCTAACAATCGACTGATAGGCATTTAGGTTGCTTCCAACACTTGGCTATTGTAACTTGTGCTGCTATGAACATTGGGGTGCATAGGTTCTTTAGTATTGGCGTCTTGGTGTTCTTAGGGTATAGTCCCAGCAGGGGAATCACTGGATCCAAAGGCAGTTCCTTTTTCAGCTTTTTGAGGAGATTCCACACTGCTTTCCACAGTGGCTGCACCAGTCTGCATTCCCACCCACAGTGGACTAGGGTTCCCTTATCTCCACAGCCTGGCCAGCACCTGTTGTTTGTGGATCTGTTTATGATGGCCATTCTGACCGGTGTGAGGTGGTACCTCATGGTGGTTTTGATCTGCATTTCTCTGATGGCTAGTGATGCTGAGCATCCTTTCAAATGCCTCTGGGCCCTCTGTATCTCCTCCTTGGAAAAGCGTCTGCCCAGGTCCTTTGCCCATTTTTTCATTGGATCGTTTGTCTTCTTGGAGTGGAGTCGAGTGAATTTTTATATATCTTGGAGGTCAAACCTCTATCTGATGTATCATTCGCGAATATATTTTCCCATATGGTTGACTCCCTTTTCATTTTGCTGATGTTTTCTTTCGCCGTGCAGAAGCTTCTTATTTTGATGAGGTCCCGCTTGTTTATTCTTTCCTTTATATCCCTTGCTTTAGGAGACATATCAGTGAAAAAATTGCTGCGTGGGATATCTGAAAGTTTCCTGCCAATGTTCTCCTCTACAAATTTTATGGTGTTGCGACTTATATTTAAGTCTTTTATCCATCTTGAGTTTATTTTTGTGTATGGTGTCAGCTGATGATGCAATTTCAATTTTTTGCATGTAGCCATCCAGCTCTCCCAACACCATTTGTTGAAGAGGCTATTATTGCTCCATTTTATGCTTCTGCCCCCTTTGTCAAATATTAGATGCACATAAAGACCTGGGCTTCTTTCTGGGCTTTCTATTCTGTTTCACTGGTCTATGGATTTCTTCTTGTGACAGTACCAGATTGTTTTGAGTATAGTGCTTTGTAGTAGAGTTTGATGTCCGGTATTGTGATCCCTCCTACTTTGTGTTTCTTTCTCAAAATTGCTGTGACTATTCGGGGTCATTTATGGTTCCATATAAATTTTTGAAATGTCTGTTCTATTTCTGTGAAATACGTCATTAATACGGATTGCGTTGAATCTATAAATTGCTTTGGGTAGTATGGACATTTTGATGATATTAATTCTTCCAATCCATGAGCACGGTATATGCTTCCATTTATTTGTGTCTTCCTTAATTTCTTTCTTCAATGTTGTATACTTTTCTGCGTACAGGTCTTTTACCTCCTTGGTTAAATTTATTCCTAGGTACTTTATTTTTCTTCTTGCTATATTGAAAGGTATTTTTTTGCTGATTTCTTCTTCTATTTCATTGCTGGTATACAAAAATGCCTTTGATTTCTGAATGTTGACTTTGTATCCTGCTGTTTTGCCAAATTCACTTATTAGGTTAAGTTTTTTGGTAGAGTCTACAGGGTTCTCTATGTACACTATCATGACATCTGCAAACAGTGATAGCTTTACTTTCCTATTTGGATGCCTTTTATTTCTTTTTCTTGTCTGACCGCTGTGGCTAGGACTTCCAATATGATGTTGAAAAGAAGTACTGAAAGCGGACATCTTTGGCGTGTTCCCAATCTTAGTGGGAAGCTTTCAGTTTTTGCCCATTAAGAATGATGTTGGCTGTAGGTTTTTCATATATGGTCTTTATTACGTTGAGGAATGCCCCATTTACTCCCATTTTGCTGAGTGTTTTCACCATAAGTGGGTGTCGTACCTTATCGAATGCTTTATCTGCATCTATCGAGATGATCATGTGGTTTTTGTCTTTTCTTTTATTGATGTGCTGTATCACGTTTACTGATTTGCGTATATTGAACCATCCCTGCATCCCTGGGATGAATCCCACTTGATCGTGGTGGATAATCTTTTGAATGTATTGCTGGATGCGGTTTGCCAATATTTTGTTGAGGATTTTAGCATCTATGTTCATCAGCGAAATTGGCCTGTAGTTTTCTTTCTTTGTAGGGTCTTTATCTGGTTTGGGGATCAGGGTGATGCTGGCCTCATAGAAGGAGTCTGGAAGTCGTCCCTCCTCTTGGATTTTTTGGAATAGTCTGAGAAGGACAGGGGTTAGCTCTTCCTTAAATGTTTTGTAAAATTCTCCTGGGAAACTGTCTGGCCCTGGGCTTTTGTGTGCTGGGAGTTTCTTGATGACTGCTTCAATTTCCCCAGCTGTTATCGGTCTGTTCAAGCTTTCTGTTTCCTCCTCTTTCAGTGTTGGAAGATTATACTTTTCTAAAAATTTGTCCATTTCATCAAGATTTTCAAATTTCTTGACATATAATTGTTGATAGTAGTTTCTGACAATCCTTTGTATTTCTGTGGTATCACTTGTTATTTCTCCTCTTTCGTTTCTGATATTATTAATTTGGGTCCTCTCCCTTTTTTTCTTGATGAGTCTGCTTAAAGGCTTATCAATTTTATTTATCTTTTCAGACAATCAGCTTCTGGATTCCTTGATCCTTTAAATTGTTCTTTTTGTCTCCATGTCATTCAGTTCTGCACTAATCTTGACTATTTCCTTCCTTCTCCTTGCTCTGGGATTTATTTGTTGTTGTTTCTCCAGTTCTAGAAGTTGTAGTGTTAGGTCTTTTATTTGAAATGTTTCTATCTTTTTTAGGTAAGCCTGTATTGCTATGAACTTCCGTCTCAGGACCGCCTTTGCTGTGTCCCAAAAGTTTTGGACTGTTGTCTGTTCATTTTCATTTGTTTCCAGAAATTTTTTGATTCCTTCTCTTATCTCATTATTGACCCATTCATTGCTTAATAGTCTACTGTTCAGTCTTCATGAGTTTACAGGTTTTTGAAGTTTCTATTTGAGGTTGATTTAGAGTTTCAAGCCCTTGTGGTCTGAGAAAAAGTTTGGTATTATTTCAATTTTCCTGAATTTGCTGAAGTTTTCTTTGTGTTCTATCATGTGGTCTATCTTTGAAAAACTGCCATGAGCATTTGAAAAGAATGTGTATTTTTCTTCTTTGGGATGTAAGGTTCTATATATGTCAGTTAAGTCTCTTTGATTCAGTGTGTCATTCAGCGCCACAATATGTTTATTAATATTTTGTTTGGAAGATCTGTCCATTTTTGACAGTGGGGTGTTGAAATCCCCTACTATCAGTGTGTTGCTGTCTATATCTTTTTTGAAGTCATCCAACAATTTCCTTATATACTTGGGGGCTCTTATATTGGGAGCATGTAAGTTTACAATGTTTATGTCTTCTTAATAGATTCTTCCTTTAAGTATTATAAAGTGCCACTCTGGATCTCTTTTTATGTCCTTTGTTTTGTAATCTATTTTGTCTGATACAAGTATGGCAACCCTGGCCTTTTTCTCTTGCCCATTTGCTTGGAATATTTCTTTCCATCCCTTTACTTTCAATCTGTGTAGGTCTCTTGCTCTGAGGAGGGTCTCTTGTAGGCAGCATATGTGTGGGTCATGTTTTCTTATCCATTCTGCTACCCTGTGTCTTTTGACTGAGGCATTTATTCCAGTCACAATGAGAGATATTACTGATAGAAACTTACTCATCTTTTCTCCTTGTACTTGTGTTCCTCTCTCTCTCATTCTTTTCCTTCATCTTCTTAAACTAGTCCCCTTATCATATCTTGGAGTGCTGGTTTGGGAGAG